TTCACATTTAAGGTAATTATCGATATGTATGTTCCTATTACTATTTTCTTAATTGTTATGGGTTTGTTTTTGTCGGTCCTTTTCTTCTTTTGTGTTTCCCACTTAGAGTAGTTCCTTTAGCATTTGTTGTAGAGCTGGCTTGGTGGTGCTGAATTCTCTTAGCTTTTGCTTGTCTGTAAAGCTTTTGATTTCTCCATCGAATCTGAATGAGATCCTTGCCGGGTAGAGTAGTTTTGGTTGTATGTTCTTCCCTTTCATCACTTTAAATATATCGTGCCACTCCCTTCTGGCTTGTAGATTTTCTGTTGAGAAATCAACTGTTAACCTTATGGGAGTTCCCTTGTATGTTATTTGTCATTTTTCCCTTGTTACTTTCAATAATTTTTCTTTGTTTTTATTTTTGTCAATTTGATTACTATGTGTCTTGGCATGTTTGTTTCTCCTTGGGTTTATGCTGCCTGGGACTCTCTGCGCTTCCTGGACTTGGGTGGCTGTTTCCTTTCCCGTGTTAGGGAAGTTTTCGACTACAATCTCTTCAAATATTTTCTCAGGTCTTTCTCTCTCTCTTCTCCTTCTGGGACCCCTATAATGTGAATGTTGTTGCGTTTAACTCTCTCTTCCCCTCTGGAACCCCTATAATGCGAATGTTGTTGCATTTAATGTTTTCCCAGAGGTCTCTTAGGCTGTCTTCATTTCTTTTCATTCTTTATTCTGTTCCGTGGCAGGGAATTCCACCATTCTGTCTTCCAGGTTACTCCTCAGGTCTTCTTCTGTATTTATTTATTTATTTATTTTTATGGCTGTGTTGGGTCTTCATTTCTGTGCATGGGCTTTCTCTAGTTGTGGCAAGTGGGGGTCACTCTTCATCGCGGTGCACAGGCCTCTCACTATCGCGGCCTCTGTTGTTGCGGAGCACAGGCTCCAGACGCACAGGCTCAGTAATTGTGGCTCACGGGCCCAGTTGCTCCATGGCATGTGGGATCTTCCCAGACCAGGGCTCGAACCTGTGTCGTCTGCATTGGCAGGCAGATTCTCAACCACTGCGCCACCAGGGAAGCCCTCATCTGTTCTTTTACCTCAGTTATTCTGCTGTTGATTTCTTCCAGTGTATTTTTCATTTCAGTTATTGTATTGTTCATCTCTGTTTGTTTGTTCTTTAATTCTTCTACATGTTTGTTCTTTAATTCTTCTACGTCTTTGTTAAACATTTCTTACATCTTCTCGATCTTTGCCTCCATTCTTTTTCTGAGGTCCTGGATCATCTTCACTATCATTATTCTGAATTCCTTTTCTGGAAGGTTTCCTATCTCCACTTTCATTTAGTTGTTTTTCTGGGGTTTTATCTTGTTCCTTCATCTGGTACATAGCCCTCTGCCTTTTCATCTTTCTGTGAATGTGGTTTTTGTTCCACAGGCTGCAGGATTGTAGTTGCTCTTGCTTCTGCTGTCTGTCCTCTCTATTTATATATACTTTGAAATGATCACCACAATAAGTCTAGTTAATCTGTCCCCATACATAGTTACAAAAATTTTTTTTTTTGTGATGAGGACTTTTAAGATTCTATTAGCAACTTTCAAGTATGCAGTACAGTATTATTAACTAAAGTCACTGTGCTGTACTTAAGAGACTATTATATATTTATTTCTGTATCTTCATTTCGTGATGTAATGTCTAGCAAAAAATAAGCACATGTATGTTTGATAAGTAAACAATTTACTGCCATTGTTAATAAGTTAAAACCTAAACTATAATTTGCTCTCTGGTGAAACCTCCAAAGATTTGGTAACAGCAAGTGAGATATAAAAAATGGTTAAATAATACTTATTTAACTGGTTTTCATTTCAGTAAGCCAGATTTACCATGTGGCTCATAAGAGCATTATCTTTAGTCAGATGACTTATTTTTTTGTGAGAATTTCAGTTTTCCTTTTGAATTCATTTTAGTAATATCTCTAAAACTTTTTTTTTCTTTTTTTTTGCTGTACGCGGGCCTCTCACTGTTGTGGCCTCTTCCATTGCGGAGCACAGGCTCCGGATGCGCAGGCTCAGCGGCCATGGCTCACGGGCCCAGCCGCTCTGCGGCATGTGGGATCTTCCTGGACCGGGGCACGAACCCGTGTCCCCTGCATTGGCAGGCGGACTATCAACCACTGCGCCACCAGGGAAGCCCTCTAAAACATTTTTTAATGATTCAGATTTACAGAAAAGGTGCAAGAAAAGTTGAAGAATATGCGAATTTCCTTTATCCAGATTCTATAAATGCTAACATTTTACCACATTTGCTTTATCATCTCTCCCTCATTTTTTTCTTGAACTCTCTGAAGCTAAATACAGGCATAATGTACTTTTCCCCCCAAATGAGCATTTTTCAGATCATAACAGCCCACTTGGGTTTAGATCTGGAGAAATACTTCAGTGTGTATTTCTTAAAAATACTACATTGTGTATTTCCTAAATTTGCAAAGACGTTCTCTTATATAACAACAGTATAATTATCAAAATCAGTATATTAACATTGATTCAGTTCTGTTATTCAAATTTTCCATTTGTCCTAAGAGTGCCCTTTATAGCAGAAGAAAAAAAAGGGATTGGATCTCTGGTCTAGGGTCCAATTGAAGGTCACACAGATCGCATTTAATCATCATGTTTGTGTGTGTGTGTGTGTGTTTCCAGCATCGTGATTTAATTCATTGTAGAGAATATATTGATGATTGTAAATGTGACTCCTCATTACAGCCTTAAAATTTTTGAAACACCAAAGCACAAAGATGTCAACTATATATCCAAACTACAGGTACAAAACAAGGGCTTCCCTGGTGGCGCAGTGGTTGAGAGTCTGCCTGACAATGCAGGGGACACAGGTTCGTGCCCTGGTCTGAGAAGATCCCACATGCCGTGGAGCGGCTGGGCTCCTCGTGAGCCATGGCTGCTGTGCCTGCACGTTCAGAGCCTGTGCTCCGCAACGGGAGAGGCTGCAACAGTGAGAGGCCCACGTACCACAAAAAACAAACAAACAAACAAACAAAAAACAAGTACATGTATTTTCCACACTCCAAAATTGAGTACACACTGTACTGTCATAGGGAAGGGGTTTACCAATGATGACCTGACAATAAAGAACTCAAGATTGATATACCAAAATAAAATATAAAATAGGAGTTTATAAAAGCAAGTTTGACAGTAGCAGAGAGGACCCTTTTCATTTCTGAGCAAAAATGCATTTCATTATACATACTCTCTCCTAAAATGAATAAACCAGTTACTTGAGAATGTTCTATTTATTTCTTCTATTATGCAACAACATTCTCCATGTCTTTTGAAAAAAAAATATTGTGTGGGAACTGTGGGATAAGCATGCATGTGAATGGAACAGCACAATTACAGTGGTTCTTACAACTCACTTCTAGATAAGGAGAAAGTGTTATTTATTAGTGTGGCCCCATCTTAGCCAGTATTCAGTTTGGAAAGACACTGGGTTAAGATCAGAATGAACTGAAATTCCAAGTTCTAGAATGGATGATTATATATGCCATTGTATTAGTCAGGCTTCTTTTTTTTCTTTTTATTGAAGTATAGTTCATCTACAATGTTGTGTTAGTTTCTACTGTACAGAAAAGTGAATTGGCCACACATACACATATATCCACTCTTCTTTACATTCCCCTCCCATACATGTCATTATAGAGTATTGAGAAGAGCTCCCCGAGCTACATAGTAGGTCCCTATGAGCCATCTGCCATTGCATGTAGTAGTATGTATATGTTTTTAGTCTTCCTTAATCTGGAGCAGTTCCTTAGTCTTTCTTTGTCTTTCATGACCTTGTTCTTTTTGAAAAATATGGGCAAGTTATTTCATAGAATTTGGTGTGAGCATTTTTTGATCATGACAGTTCACCTGGATTCAGCTCTTCTAAAAACTTTCTATCTTAAGAGCTTTACCTCAGTTGACTCCAGCAGGATGTCTTCCCTAGGACTCAGCATTTGTTGTTGTTGTTCTTGTTGTTGAAAAGTGTTTCTCAGTGGGGCCCTATTGTCATTTTGAGCAGATAGTTCTGCACTACACAGATTATCCCACACATCCCTGGCTCCTCCTCTCTAAATTCCAGTAGCATTCTTCAGTTGGTGTGACCACCCAGAACACCTCCAGTTGAGAACCACTGTTATGTAAAATTTGAAATCAAATGCAGGATCTTAGTTCCCCAACCAGGGATGAACCCAGGCGCCCTGCAGTGGAAGCGCAGAGTCCTAACCACTGGACCGCCAGGGAAGTCACTGAAATCTTTAAATTAGGAAAGTGGTCTTGCTTTTTATGTAGTTGGTAGCATGAACTAATTTTCCAGTTGATGGTTTTAATTAATTAATTAATTTATTTTTGGCTGTGTTGGGTCTCTGTTGCTGCGCTCAGGCTTTCTCTAGTTACGGAAAAGGGGGGCTGCTCTTCATTGCAGTGCATAGGCTTCTCACTGCGGTGGCTTTTGTTACAGAGCATGGGCTCTAGGCGTGTGGGCTCAGTAGTTGTGGCTTGTGGGCGGGCACAAGCTCAGTAGTTGCGGTGCACGGATTTAGTTGCTCCGCAGCATGTGGGATCTTCCTGGACCAGGGCTCAAACCCATGTCCCCTGCATTGGCAGGCAGATTCTTAACCACTGCACCACCAGGGAAGTCCCCAGTTGATGGTTTTAATTATCATTAATCTGTAATCTGCTACTGACAGCGTGCTTTAGCTGAATTCTAGTCAGTTATTTAGTTATATTTAATAAATTGATGGTAAATGGTTAAGTTGGTCATGTATGTTTTTGTATAATCTGAAATGAGGGTCCTATTAACTATCTCCAT